GCTGCAATGGCAGCGAGCCCAAATGTAAGGGGATAAGGAACACGAAACGAGGAAATAAAGGTGTATTTTATTTTTAAACCAACTTTCGATAGTATTGTATTTATTATCAGACTTGTTACTTTATACCAAAAAAAAATATAAACACTATAAGTTTAAAAGTAAAACCATTTATAATACTTTGTCCAATCGAAAATAGAACTAACAAGACTCGACTAATAAATAAATACATTTTCCTTGCTTACTTTGTACTTCAAAAGAAAAAATGTCGTACCTAATCGAATGTTACAATATTCTTTCCATATTTAAAAAACATCGGTATTCTATAACACGACGCGCGACAGCACCTAGCGACATCGTTCGCCATCTTGAACGAAAATTTACATGTCAATGCGTTCCACATGGAAATTCAAACATTCATACACGCTGCCACGCGCCGGTGGACGTGACCCGAGCCCTAATCGATTTCGAATCGGATAGAACCGAATAAGGATGTATTATGTGTAAGCGATTTTTTGTAATTGTGTTACAAGTTGCTTCATTGATCTAGAATGGTACGGGTCGCATGAAGGTTCAGGGTATTTTGTTACGAGTTCTTTGAAATAGTGGACGCGTATTGTATCTCACTTAATGTAACCAGAATAAGGACATTTTTGTCAAACAATGTAGGTATTATATTAATAGCTGTGTGGGTTGTATTGACAATAGAAGGTTTATACAATTTGTTATACATTTTATATAACTTGTATTTGATGATGTTTAGTTTGGGTGTTTCCGGTACAAATACACCTACTTTCAGCGAAATGTGGTAGTCTCTCTACAATCGTGCGGTTCATGGTAAACATGAAGAATGTATGATAGTTTTCAATATTAGAATAAAGAGCTTTCTAACCATGGAAAACGAGGCGTATTTTATTAATTTCAACAACGAAAATATAAATGTATCAAATTGCTTTTCCACGAATCATATTGAATTTTCAGTTTACAGTAAACAATTATGTATACGCTATAATGCAATAGTTAAAATATTTACCTAAAATATAATGAATAGGAATTTCTCAAATTATTACTTGATAATGATGGAATTTTGGTAAACGTCCAAAACAATATACAATTGGTTTTATGTATGTACATATGTATGTTTGTATATGATCCGAGGACCCGATTCCAAGACAATCTCGTAGGTAATGTGTTACGTAATAGCTACGATAAAGTCTTGCTGGTTTCAGTTTTCATAATATGTACCGTTTGAGGCACAAGTTAAAAATTCTGGCGATGGAAAAAGTATATGTCGTACTATACTATACATACCTATCCTTCAGGATATTTTAAAGAGCTAAAGATATTACAGCAAATACTTATTTTTAAGTTCACGAAAGAGCGCTGTAATGGTACTTTAATAAAAAGTATCTAAATACATTTAGTGCATGTATTAATTAAAAAAATATTACAAACCGTCAGTAGAATAAATTAACCAACGAATTTGAACAGTAGTAATAAACTACTGTAAAAATCAAGATTCAAAGCTTTGCTACGCTGCAGCTACGGCGTAGCCAACCTTGCTACGCGCTACGGTTACAATTATTCGTAGCGTCTGGCATGCTACGTGCTCGAATAATAATTGAATTAAATAAAATGTATTTTGTATTTGAAGCATATTTTGATATGTAATTTTGCAGCTGTAGCCAACATGCATTTTAAAATATTCGGAGAATCTGTGAAAGCTATTTAATGAGATATGATTGAATACATTTTAATTATAGGTAAACGTGAATGATATTTAAATGACGAGTATTTTTTATACTTTGAGAATATTGTATTCTTATTATGTTGTATCTTGTTCATTACCAATAAATTACATTACTAAAATGATTGCTTCAGTTTACAAAACTCAGAAACATTATCGTAGATTATATAAAAACATAAATATTTCGTATTTATGACAAATCTGTGTCATTTCTTTACTTGCACCACTCTCGCTGTATGTGGAGCGCTCGCTGTGTATCGGAACGTCCCATCGAGAAACTGTCGCGCGCATGCAAACGACTTGATTCACCTCTCACGATGCTCCAATCCAATCGAAACATCTCATTTGACTTATGAACTTGTTTACACTTCGTTTTTGTTTAAACCTTTTCAAAATGTTATTTTGTATAGTCATTACTTATTGTTTTGTTGGCTAAGTGAGCACTAGCGTCGCTGTCAAGTAAAGGATATATGTTTTGATTTTCGGATTGGTTAATGTATGATATAATTCAATAAAAACATGGAGTCTGAAATTTATAATATTTATGCAGTTTCTTACTCATTTTCCACCAGTTATGCTATTAGGGTTCTAGCAAAACTCTATAATTCTACACGGGTAAGGTGTGATCTACGAGCGTTAAAGGTTAACACTTAAATTTCACCAAATCCACTTTCTCTTATACAAGCAATACAGGGCTATATGACTGAATGTAATAGCAAAAATTATGAAATAAAATAACCAAGTTACAACTCAGAGATTTTTGCTATGAAAACCATAACAGTACGATTTCTAAGCAAGTCATGAATTTAATCATGAATAGAGGGGAAGGAGCAAAGAAAAGGCGAATGGATTCTTTGAGGAATGATATGACCGAAAAAGGAGTGAATGATGGGGAAAACTGACGGCTTGAAGAGGGAAAAATGAAGGAGGGAAACATAGTCGTTTAAGTTTACTGATTGATGGAACATAGTATTTAAAGAATTACAAGCTTTTATAAAAAAATGTTCGCTAAAGAATTCAGAGGTTTGCTTTGGTAAATAATGTTATATTAAAATTGTAAACCACCTGTACACTATAGATGCAATAAAGCGATTCGATTTGTTTATTTAAAAGGCTGCGTTTCTATCTCCTGTCATTCTGTCTTACGTATATCTTGTTACACTCAACATGTATTCAACATTTTGTGTTGACAAGCTAAGATGGTGAACGTAGTTAGAAAGAAATACATAGGTTTGTACAGAAACATACAGCTACTATATAGTAGGATACTATAAAGTAAACTCTATTGAAGTGATCATTGGGTACATTTTATAAGGATATTATGAATGACAACTTTCGCTACATATGTTTTTTTGTTCAATAAACCATTTTTAAATGGATTTGCATTTCGCTTTAATATGTCAGATACAAGCCTGCATCCCATCCCCTAAGATATGATTGCTTCACTGATCAAAGATCTATTTAACAAACCAGGAAAACAGGTTGACCTAGATCTGCTCAAAAGGTCTTACGATAATGTCTAGTAAAACGCAAAGAAATAAACTAGTCTAAGCAGATATATCATATCTTTTAAAACTTGAGTTGGTATATAGAAACAGCTTTCAAAATTAAAGATGTTTTCGATTTAATGTCTAAATAATAAGAAATTGTTTAATAGGAAATGGTATCAGTTTTTTCCAAAATTATAATATGAATGTAACTACGTATTGAATTCTATATCGGAAAACTGAATGTGATACCTATAATCTACATTCTATTTATGTCACAATAGATTGACCTTCTAACATCAAACTTTATACCTTTAGATGGTCTCAAAGGCTCAGAACGTAAATTCAATTTTCTCAACATCTACTGTTCTAAGGTTTCCTTCAAAATTTGTATAGAAACATGAAGAACGTATCACTATAAATAAGTGTTCTTGAAACCAGACTACTCTCTGAAGGCAAACCTTTTACATAACACACTGAGAAACTCTAAACAAACAACTTGTGAATGAAATAAAATCCCCCGCAACATAACCACACGTGGGAAGCCAGTTTAAACCGGAATCGTTACCGCTTCAAACCAGTTGAAACCAGTTTTGCGAAACCTAAACTGCTTCGATCCACTTTGATGTGGTGACAGAAATGTTAGTTTGTTGCGAATGAGTTATTAAAGTATGTTCGGCATGCCTTTGTGGAGTGTGTTTGAGGGAGATGAATAATATAATGATCAAATATGCCGTTTTGCAAAACAAAAGCTCACGATTGTATTTGCGGGACTCGCTACTCCGAACTGCGACTTGAAATTTAGTAAACATAAAATTGTTTCGCTATTTCAAATCTAAATGTCAAAGAGGACTCCACGTAAATGTTGTATACAAGCTTGTAGTTCCATTTATATTGGAGATGACTGTTGTCTTTGTACATAGTTGTTTTAAGAACCATCTTAAGATTTAAACGAGTTTGTCTTTATAGCATTTTCTCATTTAATTTGTAAAAGACACGACACTATTTGACTTGATTTGCAATCTCATATTGTGACATTTTCTATAATAAAGATTCATCATTAATATAAACTACAACGCTCTCCATTTAATTAAAACATTACTTCGGCGAACACATTAAATGTTGACAGACAAAAAATCACTTAACCTGTATAGTATACGCAAAAAGAGTCATAAAAAATTCGTCAAAAACATTGTAGTGGAACTGGAATGGTTATGTTCCCGGCCTCGGGCCGTCCCCGGACCGTCCTCGGATCGTCCCCGGCACGGCTGTGATGTACGCGCCGCCGGATATCCGACTGACGAACGTTTTTACATCTCGCTGCTAGTGACAAACATGGCGGCACAAGTTTGTGCTGTCTATGTCCATGGAGTTCGGCTTTTTCGTGTTTTTGAGGTTACGAAAATTATTGGGGTGTTTTGAAAGTATTTGTACTTAGAAATTGTGTGATATTTGTTCGGTATCTAACACTAGATTTGCATGTCCTTATTGGATTTTCTGGTCTAAATAATAATAATTAACATTCGGATTGTATGTCCCACAGAGTATTAAGATAACATAAATTAGAGTTGTTTTAAGTTAAACGTATGTAACTATAGATTATTTTTGTAGGAACCTAAAAAGTCGATTACATTCCTAATATTTGATCATAATTATTGCAGACGATTCAAATGTATTAACTTCTAAAATTAAAATATTTCAATTCAATTAATATTTGTGAGTCTCAAAAAGCACTTTTAATTATAATAAAACAATACAAAAGCACTCACCAACTGGGCTTTCTTCATTCCAAAACGAATCGTCAAGTGTGTAATCGGCTTCTGAAACAAATGAAATGTTATTTCAGTAATGTGCACATTTCAGCTTTCAGATTAACAGGGAAATGATGATGGATGATGTAACACAGATATTAATTTATTAAACATCCATACTTATATTATACACGTGTTTAATGGATGTTTTAAAACGAATTTTCATTAGCGATTCAGTTTTTAAAATTTTATGTTAACTAGACTATGTTATTCGTGAGTGCTATTAATATTTTAAATATATGATACCCATACATAGGACTTGTATTATCTGTCTGACAAATGAATTTGTAATAATATTCGATAAACTATACTAAAATTATTTTTAGTACATTGTGTGAGATTTTAACAAGATATTATCAAAGCTTTCAAATATTCGCATTCGCGGTAAAAATCTATATCGCTGACGAGCGTGTTTCCCCTCGGCAGCGTGTTAGCGTGCTCCAAGTAATAATTTCACAAGTTCTGACGTTATCTGCTCTTGTTATAGAGTTTGTCAAATTTCAACCAGAAGTGGGACGAAATAATCTGGCTCTAAGCAATTACCCATTTAGAATTGACGTTATTGAAGTAAGATTAGGGATGTAATGTGTCATTATTGTTCGGTTATGAGGACGTGAGCTATAGTGGGGAGTTGTGAAAAGATACTTTATTACAAGGTTATAAAGACAATATTCAACTAGCTATAAGTTAACTGAAATGTAGGCTATTACGATGAAGACACAAAAACCTCAAGAAGAAATAGAGTAATTCATTTTAAACAACTAAGGGCTTATTTATTACTAGACAATACATAACCATTTAACAGGCGTGAACTCTTTACTCAAATAAAAAATAAATTAATTGAAGACAAAGAATCGGCACCGACAGACCTAGGTCACGCTGTTTAAAAAAAGAACTTTAAAAGCATCTGGCACCTTTCTTCTAACAGTCCAGAAGCGAAACGAACCTCATAAATCAAACTGTACCAACAAAAAATATGCAAACACAAAAATAAATAATTACCGCCGGTGACATTGCCACAAAATAAATTATACAGTGGGCCTGTAGGTACAAGGGATGGTTTTTTCGCCCATTCATTGCGGATACACCCATTGTTATTGTAATTAACTCGTTTTTCGCGGCTGAAGTTCACACAAAAGGTACGTGGAAAAATTTATATACGGCTATAAGGTTGCCACTGTAACAATATCTGGGTCTACTAATATACAGTGCCTCAATCTGTCCAAAGTACAACTGGCTCCATCTATCTTTAAAATTCTTCAGTTAAGGAAAAACGGCATGAAAATAACTGAGCTATCATACATAACGGGCCGTAGCAATATACAGGGACTTAAACAATGATACAGGGAAAGCTGCCATTAGCTTTTACGATACTATAAGGGAGTAGGGGAGGCAAGTTTGTTCCACAAATATTGCGCCCCCAGTAAGTAGATTACATTCTGAATTTGAAATTGTGTTATGAAAACATTTTTCTAATTTTCCATCGTTTGCCAAGTAAAGAGCATTAACTGTGGATGTTTAGACTTTGGGGTAATATTGAAATATGATTTCATTACGTTGTTTGATCAAGTTCACTTGCTTTTTGAACGGTGCTTTAAAATGTTATTTTGATAAATCTGGGTTGTATAAGTTTTATATATTTTTATTTTATATTGGTTGGGCCGAAGTTTGACCACTATCCCGCCTGGTGGTACATCGACCCATAAGCAACCTATTCACTTGGACCTTGAAGACACTCAGGTACCTTTCAGGAAATACAGACTCTGGCAAAGAATTTCACTTCTTAGCAGTACGCACAAGAAAGCTTGATGCGAAACGCTTCGTGCATGTGGGACATTTACTATGAATCGGTGACGCTTCGCTTATTTTCTTGAGAATTATGCATCTGCCATACTTATTTTTCTACTTTATCTTATAATTAATGTAACATCGAATCTTAAACAAACTAATTAACCTCTTAGAATGCCTAATTACTCAAGATCTACACCACCTTGAAAATACATAAACACCTAACTAAATATAAAACACCACTAAAACAAACTTCAAAAACCAACAACAAACACATAAACAGTTCAATCATACCCAACAAAGTGGGAACAGACACGTATGAAATATCGTCCCAACTGCACTTTTCAACTCATAACAACATCTCGTTACGCATTGTAGCGATATACTCGTATTTCTAAAAGTTTTCTTCAACAACAACAAACGTATGCATCAACAAGCAAGCCAAACTAACTTGGAAACTGCACTAGATATCATGAATACTCGTTTCGAGTTTAATAAAAGATCTGTAGACGCGGAATATCGAATTATGCGCGTACTAGACTACTACTAAATTAAGGTAGCTGAAGCTGATGATTCAATAGTAGCTAGATGTTGTGAAATTGTTTTGTGCAATGTAAAATTGCAGTCAATGCATTAAGGTCTAAAATATATGAAGTTAATTTAGCAAGAATGAACTTATTTTTATCGACTTCAAAATAAAGAGGAGGAACGACTTCTAATCTATCTTTTTATCAGTGGGTGGATAAACTAATAATAGTTATTTTTAGCTTTTTAGTTTTTGGGGTTTTTTAAAGTTGGTTTTTTATTGTAGTATTTATTCTTTGTTTTTAGCAACTTTAGATAGCCACTCAGCACTACCAAATGATTTGGTTTCAGCTAATACTATAGGCTTGAACTTAATCAATTAATGATTAGGTTTACAAATGTATTTATGTATTACGATAAAACGGTATATAAAAATAACAGTTCAAAATGACATCTACGAGGCACAACATAAAACTCAAAAGCAAATAAAACTTGACAATAGCAAAAAGCCACATTAGAACGCAATATCAACTACCTGAGATTAATTATAATAATGTACCTTATTCCTACCTCAACAAAACCCGGGGATTAGGCGATATCAATTCTTTGAATCACTCCAGATGAATCCATATAATTAAATTATTAATTATGTTTCAGCCATTTTGATTCCACTTATTTCTACGTCTGTTTTGTTAGAAGATGCTTATAATGACGGGATTGCTTGGTTTCCCTTTATTATCTGATATCGCATTTTACTTTTCATTTGTTGGTTCTATTTCATTATTGTTCTGGTATTGTTTTTCTTGTCAAGATATAATTAATAAGATTTTATACGAGATACAGCAGACTTATAATATTAGTATGTGATCAATATTTTGAAATTAATTTTGAAGAGAGGAGTAAGTTGCCATAATTCATTCCATAAAGCTTATATACAATCTTTGTTCGATGTTGCATCATCAATGTGGTCAATAAGGTAGTTTTTTTTATGATTAACCTAATAAACAAGAATATAAATAATAAAAATGTAAAAATAACACTAAGAATCACTTTTACCTGGATTTATACGAGTACTTCCCAGAAACAAGCGACAACAAAGATATTTATAAATATCACCTGATATTTTTGGCGCCAAAGCCTTTATGAATATTTTCATTTTTGAAATAAAACCAAAAACCGTCCAGGACGTTGGATTGATGAATAACCTTTTAAATTTTTATGTTTTTTGCTGTATACGAGAGCCTACAAACGAAATACCTAACTAAAAGCGAGCGATGATTCTGGGAAAAGATATTCATTTTTAACAAAAATGAAAAACACGAACTTTAAAATCACGACATTGCCTTACTCGTGTAAAGGTCACCACCTGCATTGCAGATGAGATTCAAATAACTATATTTTTAAAATTCGCTTTAATTTGAATGTGGAAAGCTATTAACGCAATTTAATTGACAGACCACACTTCCATTTGTGTTTTGAAAATATTTTATGTATAAAAGTGATCAATATAAGTAATTAACGAGAAATCTTCAGAACTACTATCGTTCCCTTATCACGTCTTAAGGACCCATCTATAGAGCTTTTGTTATGGATGTCATATTAGCGTGGTCAATGGTGGTTGAAACTCTATTAATAGAGGTATAATTCGCAGGCCAGAGAGTGGGTCCGATCGGAAGTACGGCGGCCATTATTGCAGGACACCGGAAGTGATTTAGAGCGGTGGCGTTGGCGCCCACCGTGGGACCTTATCTGTGTTTCATTGAATTGTTGGCGTTATGATTTGTGTTAAGATGTATTTATAGCACCTTCATATTGTGATTATAAATGAATTAAAGGATATTTTGATTAAATTGTGGGATCAAAGTAATTGGCGCCCAACGCGGGACCAGCTTGATTTTAATATTCTAATGTAAAATACGAGTCTGTAACTAATACAATTTATCTATGGCTATGTTACAACATTAAATTAATCGAAGTCAATCCATAACGCAAACGATATTATCAAGAAACGAGAGCAAACATCGAAAAGTGTATCAGAAAACTAATATCCTGTACATTATTTCAACAAGAGTTTAGCAACACGCGTACTTATTTCCGTGACGTTGTTTTTTTTTCTCTTTTTTCTTCCCCCAAGTGTTTCTGATTAAAATTAATTGCGTTCGAAGAAGTTAATTGTAGCGCGGAATGAACGCTTGAACATAAATTGAGTAACAAATGGAGACGCAGTAGACCGTTATTTGTTAGTTCACCCTATAATTATTTATACTACCGACGAGTTAATAAATCTGAAATGGGGGTTGATTGTGACCTGATTAATGCACTTCAAAGGATTTTGGACAACTGAAAACAATCTGACAATCTTATTTTACTATTCTTAGCGCCGATTTTTCCATCAACAGATAATTCTTGATTACAGTTTAAAATTGGCATTTGACAGTTTTTAGTGTGGAAGAATTGTCAAATTTTAACTGCCATTGAAATAATTATCTATTATCAAAGAAAGTCATATTACATTTACTTACGATATTAAAATGGATTTTGATATTATGCTTAACTTTCCAAGCATAATTATAATATTTGTAAATGAAGTTTATCACCAGTATACAAGGTTTTAATATTGCGAAGCAACAAACCAATTTTCATAAATACTTATCCAACAAACTCCAAACAAAGAAAGCACATTAATTTCCTCTAAT